TTTTTCTGCTTCTAGGGATTTCGTGAGACTAATGATAGTCCTGGGGGGTTCAACACAGTGAGCAAAATAGATGTGGTGGCTGTTTACATAAACAGGTTGACTAAATAATTTATCATTTAGGGCCCTCCCTGGTGATGCGGCAGGTTAAAGCACAGCACTAAGAAGCTAAAGCCACTTCCACATGAATTCAATACCCATCTGCCCCCGGAGGTGATCCACATGGCAAAGCAGATTTCTCCTGACCTGTCCACTGCTCCCCTCAGCAGTGTACTTTGTCGACCTGCCTGTTCTGCTCCCCACTCTGTCTCTAGCGAATCCTCTCACCGCCCCTGCACTTCTGGCCTGTACCCCAGTTCTGTATGCATGAATAAATAAACCTTAAAAAGAAATAACTTATAATCTAAGCTGAGAAACCAAAAAAAAAAAAAGAGGGCAGTTGCAGGGAGTAATTATATTTGGACAACAGAAAAAAATCAACAACTCCAAGATAAGTTTTCCCCCTCTTCACACTTAAAATACTCTCTGGGACTGGAATTATGGGTAGAAATGAGCCTGGGGCAGTAGATTCTCCTCTTATCCTCTTCTCCAAGCAGGTAATTTTTAATAGTACTGCTTATGTTGTGAGTGTGGATTTGTAGTTGCTGCTGAGGTATGCAGAAGAGTAACTAATTCAGATCTGGAGAATCAGGAAAGGCTTCCAGGAGGAGGTAGCATCTGAGACTTGGAGGATAAGTAGGAGCTAACCAGGCAAAGAGAAGGAATAGAAAGTTATGGAAAGACAAATGGCAAGTACGAGTGTGACAGACTGATGGGGCTATCCTTGGTGGGCAGCTTGGTAGAAGGTGCCCTAAAGAAAATAATCATCTGAAGTTATACAGAAGCTGCACATAACCTAGTCTCAGAAATGGAATTTGGGATGAGGGCAGGTGGCTTCAAGCATGTGCTTCCACAACCTGGGTCCTCATCCTTCTCTGCTTGGGCTTCCACAGTGCTCATGCAACCCAGGAAGGGGAAGACTCCAGTAAACAATGATAGTTAGGAGTTCATGCAACTTCCCAGAGGAATTTCTTAGAAAAGTGGTGGGTTTTATAAACTGAAAATAGTGAATACTGACTGGGAAAGTAGAAGACAGCAGCTAGATGTTTGTTGTTCAGACTACATGGATACTAATCATTTATTAGATACAATATGATGATGTACTATGTTAAAAATATGAATTTATGTAATAGTCAGAAATCACAGAATAAATATGTGATACATACATAAAGTAATGATTCAGATCCTTGCTGATTTAGACCATAATTCTTTTATGCTTAGAGCATAAATATGTCCTTTCAATACATATTCACTTGATGAAATTTGTTGATTAGGATCCATGAGCTCTTGAATTTATTGAAGAATTGCTTAATGTATCTGTTTTCATGATTAAGACCTTTTGTGATTTTTGATTTATCAGTTTTCTTTCTTTATACCACCTCTCTATTTCTTGCATCTTCTCTCTATTTACTTTTGCCTCTTTGAATTCTGATGATACTTTCCTTTTATGCTATAAATTGCTGGAATCAGGAATAATGTTTTTTAAACTTATCAAGTATATTTAGGAATGTAGTATTAAACACTGTTAAACAAATATGTGAAAACAGCAATAATAAAACTGTTTCCTATATGTCTTGGTAATATAGTAATTAAAGTAACTTTATATTTAGAATTTTATGTTTGTTTTTTATATTAACATAGATAAGTCTGTCTGGCCTTGTTTTGCTCAATATCAAGTCAGACCTATAAAATATTTATTTTTCTTTTCTTTCACACTATTATGATTTAACAAGATTTTTTTTTCTCCAAAAGCATTGTGTCTTCAATATATACCTCAAGAAAAAAAAGACTGAATCTCTGTCAACCTTGAGACATTTTCATGAAAATAAAAGCTAAAAAGGTTAATACTCCATCAATTTTATTTACCGAACAGATTATATTTGGAAAGGAACTCACCAGTAAAAAAGGGATTTCATTAATGGACATTTGCTAAGTATGACACCAGAAAATGATAAGAAAGAATTGCTGTCATTTCAGACATGTTCGCTGCATTTCCTGGGGTGAGTGCAGGCTTCTAGAGAGCTCGGAGTGGGGTTCTGAGTCATCCATACTGCAGAGTGGTCTTGAGAAAAGTGTGGGGAGGACTGCAGCTATCCATATTTTTGCTATTAAAAGAATTAGTCTTTAGTATGTGAACTACATTAGCAAAAAGAGAGAGAAAAATAAAAATTCACTCCTCAGACCTCAGGTGTCCCCCAAGTCAAAGTAAGAGTAAGAAGAGCCCTGTGCCTGAATGGACGTGGATCAGAATCTCATTCTTGGTGTATGGCTGATCACAAAGGCCAGTTTGACAGAGGAGGTTGTATCATCCTTATAGTTTTAGGTCAGTGAACATGGGGGATTGGTTCAATACATCCTAATATTCATAGAATAATTTGGTCCTTTGTTGCCAGCAGACTCAGAAAACTATAGATAGTTACAGTCAAAAGGAATCTTGAAGGCAAATGAACACTCAGTTTACCCAAAAAGAACTGCCTTATTTGCAACTGCATATAGCACTACCCATAGAGCTTATGCTAAACATGATTTTTATCTTCAGTCAGATCTGAGCTGCCACAAGAGTTAGATATCTGGCAAACAAATCTAGCAGTTATCCCCATTGGTCTGATTCCTGTGCCCTGCTAAAATGGTCCACCTGGAAATTTCTGGATTCAGGGACGGGGAGAGGCAGGAGACTACTCTACATTTCCTTAGGCTCCTAGGAAGAGAGAAGAGCCTTGGGGCAGGAAGGAATTCACAGTGTAAATCAGTTATTAGGCAAAAAGGAGGAGGAGAGGTCTTTGTCTGGAGTCTGTAAGTACACATTGTATGTAAGGGAAACTTAAATATAAGATATACTTAGTAAACATAAAATATAAACTGAACAAAGAATTATAATCAATGATAACATTTATATAGAAATATGTAGCAGAATATAGCTGTACTAAAAATATATAGTAAATCATATAATACAGTGCAAAATAAAACACACTCTTTTTTAAGATGTGCTTCGTCCTTTAAAATATTGTAACCCTGGGCCCTCCCTGGTAGTGCAGCGGGTTAAAGCAGAGCACTGAGAAGCTAAAGCCACTTCTACATGAGTTCGATTCCCGCCTGCCCCGGAGGAGACCACATGGCGTGGCAGACCTCTCCTGACCCCGCTGGCTGCTCCCCTCAGCAGTGTACTTCGTCAATCTGCCTGTTCTGCTCCCCAATCTGTCTCTGGTAAATCCTCTCACCACCCCTGCACCTCTGGCCTGTATCCCAGTTCTATATGCAAAAATAATAAATAAATCTTTAAAAAATATATTGTAACCTACCATTAACATCCTGTTCATTATACTGAACTTTATAGAATGTAGCAGATTATAATGAAATAATTTTAGAGGAGAGCTCACTGTTTGCCCTCAAAACAATAAGCATATTAAATTTATTTTACCTTATGATTTTTAATGATCTTGTTTGAGATGTCTGAAAAGTAAGTTAAATAAGTTCTTTAATTTAGAATTATTTTAACTTTTAGAACTCTTCATTCACCTAATTGTTGTCAGTGCTTTAAAAATATTAGAACTTCAGAAAGATAAATGTTATTTGGTAACCTCTCTGTGACAGATATTTGCTTGCCACTTTAAAGCACAAGTGTCCTTCTTTGTTAGTATCTGTGTTCAGTATGAGAGTATGGAGTTTAATGTAGATGGTGAAAGAAAACTATGACAATGCCGGTGGCTAAGCAAGTCTCTTCGTTAATTAAACATGTCCCAAATTATTCTGAGCATCTGTATTGTGCAGTTATGATGGATTAATGGGAAGTGGTATTTGTCTTTAGGTTTGTCAGAATTTAAGGTAGCAATAAGTAAAAGTATAGAAATCCCATTTTCAATAATTAAAAAAAGAAAATAAATACAATTATAATGAAAATATTCAAAACAATCTGCTGTTCAATAAAAATGGAACACTTAAATTAGGACACATCTGCATGAATACCATACAGTCTTACCAACTGAGATTTATATATGTTATAGCAAATTCTACATTTTAGTTCAATTGGAAATAATAGCTCTCTCCTTTATACAAATCAGCAGAAATAGGCTTAGTTTTACACATTCCTCTCATAAGTATTTCACCCTATTTATCACTTTTCAAAAATAAAATGGAGACAGAAGGGAGCCTATTTAAGATTATCCAGATTGGAATTAATTTTGTCATTTGAGTGTATTAGAAATGGGAAGCTAGACCCGCTGATGAGAGTTGTAAAGTATAGCCATGGACCATATCCCAGTTTGTTCAAATAACTTACTTTTCTGTTTAAAGTCATATCAGTGATTAAAACAAAAACTGATGTGGGTGGAGTACATGAGTATATAAGAGTGATTTCAAGCCTGACATTTCATCCTATTATATATTTCCAATTATGCTAATCCTGAAGCTCCATTTTCCATTTCTGACTAATTTTTATCTTTTCTATATGTTATTTTTTATCAAGTTTACAGAAATCTGCTTCTTGTATAGAAGAGCAACTTCCTGTAGATGTAGCCAAAAAGTGTTTGATTTTAACTAATATTCGTGTTTGTAAGGAAAGTAAAATTTCTGTAAAGGACAAATCAACTTGTATTTATGTTTGGAGACTTTTGTAGCTTTGTTTTATCAACTTAATTTTTCCCTTTGGCCATCCATTGTTTTAATTTTTACTGTAATTGTTAATTTAGCTATCTCCTTTTAAGTTGCTGATATGCTAATAAGGTAAAAACAAATAAAAAACACTTCACCATTGCTTATCACAAGAGCATTCAGTCAGTGTTCTATTCAGACTATAAAACACGTCAAGGTGCCTCCTTGAGATTCTAAAACATTAGCCTCCTGATGGATGAGCCTGTGCTTTTTTGCATTTAGCTCACTGTGCTTTTCTTTCTTGTCTTTTTATTCAGTTGGAATGCTTGCGGATTTCTCAACAAACTTCTAAGGCTAAGACCCTGAGGAAGCCAGCTGGAGAATGCCTTCCGAACGCTGCCTCAGGTTAGCCCCGGGGACATGTCATTGGTTGGTATAGTAAGCTTTGAAATAGTCACACTGCACATTCATTCCAGGACCCAGCACAGTGCAGAGGCTCAACCTGTTTGAAGGATTAAGAGTCAGAATGCATGTGAGCTTAGTACCGCAGCACAAAGACTGTGATCAAATTGCTAGTGAAATCAAGATCTATTTCATGAGTCTTTGAATGATTTTACTTTTAATTTTTCTCTTATTTAGGATTCTGCCCTTCTTCAAATAAATGATATATTGCTATGAAGGTAAATAAATTTAAAAAAGAATCAGAAAACTATACATACATACATTAATATTGTCCTCTTTAAAACAATCACTTTAGGAAGTATAATATATAATCTTATATAATTTTCTTTTAATGATTCATATATTTATATTTATTGAACTCTACTTGTGAAGATGATCCAGCAATGGATAAATTTGCTAAGATTCCTACTCTCATCAAATTCTATGAGGGAAGCAGATAGTAAAGATACTAGACTAGTAACAATGCAAATGTAGCTATGGAAAGATGCGTAATTATTTCCTCATATCTTAGTTTTTTTTTGCTTTTTTTTATGGGCAGAGAGCTTTTGTCACCCTGGGACATGGTATGTGTCTAGATAATTACCCCTCAAACTGGTTGAGAAAGCAACCACAGCAAAAGCAATGAATATACGCTCACTTGGCTGTAGTGCTCTGCAACTCTCACACCCTCTCTGCCTCTACCCTATTGTTGGGGCCACTTCTTCTTATTCACTGAGCCTTTGGCACCTGGCTTACAGGTGGTTTGACTGAAATACACTGCTGAGGGGAGCAGCAGGCAAGACAGACGAGGTCTGCTGCGCCATGTGGGTCAGCTCCCTGGCCAAGGATTGAACTCATGCTGCAGTGGCTGTGGCTACCTTCATAGTGCTGTGCTTGAACCCCTTGAGCCACCAGGGAGCCCCAACATTGCATTTTCTGACCTTGCTACTTTCTATTAATTTAGCAGCAACTTCTTTACCCTTCTGATCCAGTTTAGAATCTGTCACTCTTTAAATCCTTTTTCTTTTCCATTTGTTTTTGATGCATTGCCTGAAAAGACCTCAAACTAGGTGAGCCTGGCTATCCATGTTTCCATGACTGCATTGCCATGGAATAGATTAGTTTCACTAAATCATTAGATTCAACCAAAAAAAAAAAAAAAGCCCAGCGTTTTAGTATATGTTTCTTGTCCACTTATTTTCTCCCTTCTGTTACTGAGAACATAGTCCCTTTCCCACAGCTAAGCCCAGCTCTGCTGTGTTTTGAATATTCTTTTCTCAATAACCTTTGAAATTTGGTAGTCTCTGAACTGTTCTGGGTACACAGCTGTGCTTATGTTTTCTCTGTAATGCAGGTGAGTCAGATTTACACTTCTAGCCCAGACTTTTTTTTGAGCTCCATATCTGTGTCTCAAACAGCATACATATCTACAACTCAAATTTAACATGACCTACTCCAAATTCATCATCTTCCTCTTCTGCAATTCTGTTCCTCTCCAACTGATTTCCTATTCTGGAATATCAGTTTGGATAAACCACCACTTGATAATGCTAAGTATATTTAAAGACAGTTCACCTCTCTGAAACTCTATCCCATGCTCCAGTGAAAAACCAAGTACATCACTCACCGGAACTACGTGCACAGTCCAGGCGAGCTTCAGTTTGGCCCAATTTCTTCGATTGCTCGTGGTAATTCGTGGTACTAAGTGGCCTTTTTTGTGACTTCCCCTTGCCCTTAAGATAACCTACATGAGTGGGTACCAGCCTTTGCCACTCAGGTCACTGCTGCATCCTGCCCTCTCTGTCCTCAGGGTTCCAGCCAGTAACATTCTGTGGCCCCCATGTGAGGACCATTCTCCTTTCTGCCTCAGGATCACAGCACATTCTAGAAAATTCTTCTTTCCCCTATTTGCTCTGGTAATGTGTTCTCATCTCTCAGCTCACATAGCTCTAGCATTACATTCTGAGAGGCCAGATAATTTGATTAATTGTAATTGCCTTGTTACAATTTTATGAGAATTACTAACTAGTTTGGTTTGTTTACAAATTTATTTCCAGTACTTGGCATAGGATCAATGTTTGTTGAATGAGTGAATGAAGGAGAGAATGAGAATTATGTTTCTTTTTCTTTCTCGCTTACTTCACTGAGAATAATCCCTTCCAGCTCCAAGTTGCTGTGAATGGCATGAGTTTTTCATTGCTGGATAGTATTCCATTGTCTATATATACCATATCTTCTTGATCCAGTCATCTATCTTGGGGCATTTGGGTTGTTTCCATATCTTACCCATTGTAAATAGTGCAGCAATAAACATGAGGATGCAGTTATCCTTTTGAATTAGCATTTTTGTGTTCTTTGGATAGATTCCTGGGAAGCGGAAAAAGCAAATATTGTTTGGAATGATTAGTGATGTAAAACACATATACATAAATTTAAAAATAAATAAAATTAAATTCCTTTCCACAGCATCTTCACTATTTTTAATCATCTCTAATCATATTGTGTCTCCCTTGTTTACTATATTGATCATTGCTATTAAGTGCTAGCATCCATTTTATTAAAGTACTTATAAATTATAAAATGAAATATAAAAGTAAAATGATGTTCTATTATTGGGTCTTTTAATAGCCTGTCCACTTAATTAGGATTAAATTATATGGTTTTTAATTTTACAGAAATATCTTGCCTGTGGAATTGAAGCAATGAGGATACTTACTTGATAGATTAAAATGACATAATCATAAATTATTTTTGTATTATGAGGGTTTTTTTTGCCTAGTAATTTTTTTGTCTAACGTAGTCTATTTGAAAAATGATGTCCTCTATGCTACTTGATTATTTTTTGCTTATATGTTTGTGATTCTATGTTGGTGATCTTTACTAAAAAGCAAACTGCACATTTTTTGTATATCTAAATATTAGATTAATGTTGATGTAGAAATTGATTTCAATTTTTTAATTTAAATGCAGGTGTTTAAAAATCAGATAGCCCCTTTGGAAACGACATCTAAAAACCTGATTGAATTTAGTCCAAATTTGTTCTATAAAAATGAGCCGGTGGGGGGAATTGTGATAAAAAATGTTAACTCTATGAACTAAAAGTAGTGATTTGCACTAAAGCAGTGCTTCACCATGAGTCAGTGTACTGTATTATGAAAATCGTGCTCTGCATTTGATTTTTTTAGTTTTTGCCATCAGGACCAGAATGAAAGTTAAAGACTTAAAGTCATGAATAGTCCTGTTCTCTGAGACCTCATTTATTTATCTCCTTGGTCCTGGATCCTGACATATGGCCAATGAAATGATTGCTCCCTGGCATCACTAAAAAGCAATCTGCTGTGCAGGGAGTCTGAGGCTTCCTGCGCTGTACCCTGCAGAGTGTGGGCCCTGGAAGATAGAGAAGCATGCTCATCCACAGCCTATAGAGTTCAGGGGAAAGAAGTAAAGGGATACCCCCCCCCAAAAAAAAACACCTGTACACTGTCTAATAGAACCATAATACAAAACATGTATATGATTTTAAAATCTGATGTGGTCACATTTAAAAAACATAAAAAGAAACAAGTAAAATGAATTTTAACCATATGTATTATTTAATACAATATACCCAAACTATTATCACTTCAACAGGTAATCAATATTAAAAAATATTGAGATATTTTGCATTCTTTTTACACTACATCTTTGACATCCACTGTGTATTTTACATGTATAGCACATCACAGTTTGTACTACCCACATTTAAGCACTTAGCAGCACACGTAGCTGGTGATACCTCTACTGGACAGGCAGTTCTAGAGACTCTCCCAGAGTGAAGGTATTCCAGATACCTTGGAACGCCTTGTGTCCTCACCTGTGAATTTTAAGGTAGAAGCATTGCTTCCATGGAAAACCTCCAGATTTTAGGAGGACAGTCAGATTCGTGTACTTTTGGAAAATATGACTGCTATTTTATATTTTATTCAATAATTTAGGAAGTTTTAGGCATGTGTTTTTTCTTTCTTCTTTGCTTCTCACAGAAGAAAGGGACATTGCTCTTACTTGGGAGGTTCAGTTGGCTCATTTGGTATAAGTTATAGATGTCAAGGACATTGCTGGCAAGTCTGTATCTGCTTAGAAATATAGTATAGCATTGTCTTTGACTACGTCCCAGGTTTATGATTATTAACTTTCTCAAGTGAGCCTGTCACCTTCCATCTGTGTTGTGTGGCCACACATACTTGAACAATTCGAGGGTGAGACCCTTTGAAGATTTACATCTGAGAGTTGAGTGGGAAGTTACTTAGAAAATACAATTATGACTTGTTGATTAATAGACCTTTATTTCCTGCCAAATGTCGGGAGTATTTGTTTCTGCTTTTAAGTATTCCTAACATATTGGTTCCAAAATATTTGGAATCTTGTGCCAAGTGTTGCCTTAAATATTTAACATGTTGTTTTCTTTAAGCTTGAATATTTCAAGCCCAGCTGAATTATCCTGTGAAACTGTGCAGCATTACAATTGTTTTAGAACTGTGCCCTTTGTTCTTTGCCAAATTTCAGTTTACAGCTGCTCTTTCCCTGGCAAGATTTTTTCACTGTCAATAGAAGTCTGAAATGCAAATACTGATTCAGTCTTAATAAGGACATGAATTGTGGGACTATATTTGGAAAATGAGTAAGGAAACATTTTAAGGCAATTATTTTAATATATTCTTCTGTTCCACTACAAGTGAAATTTCAAAATACATTTATTTAGCATTTAGGGTTATATTAAAAGGGAAAAAAGCTATGAGAGTTTCAACATAAATTTTCCAAGGTTATAATAGTTAAAATCTACTTTCTATCTTCCAGCTTACCTTACTCATAGTGCAAAAATAACTGTTTTGAAGCTTGATTTTAAATATTTCTTATCACTAACTCATGTTACTATGTTGATAAATATTTTTTTGAAACGCAACTTTGATTTTGATATTAACTATGTATAATATAAACAAAAAATTAATAAGCACTTTGTGCTTTTTTTCTCCCTCAAGCATAAATAGACTTTTGAAATCTTCTTTACAGAGTATATTTTATTTCCTAAACAGGAAATAATTACATTTTTCATGTTTTTTGGTGGTTCTCAAATTGCCTGATACTGGATATTTGGTTTTCTTAAATGTAAAACAGAGATAATAATGAGGGAGCTCATAGCGTTATAGTAAAGATTGAATGAATTAATAATTATAAGTAGCTAGTATTGATTAATCCGTGGAGCATAATGTTTTGTATTTGTTACATAGGTAAAAATATCATTCTTTTAGGAAAGACTATCCTAAAACTTTACTTCACTGATACAAGTATGTGCCTATTCTATTTCCTCACTTATTTGAATGATGCGAGTTAATATCCATTCTAGACTTTGCATAAGTATTTATTTATTTATTTTGCATAAGTATTTATAGAAAATGTTGTTTATGCCTCTGGACACAGTTTTCAAGCATAGATTTAAAAGTCTGCCTATTGCTACATCCACTAGCTGAATATTTGATGACAGTAACCATTTCAAAACTCTCTGCTGCATGACAACTGAAAATAATCCTCTGTCTTCCATGAAAGCTTCCTATATCCTTACCTCCTGTCAAGGTTTTTTTTTTTTTTTCTTTCAATAGTCCTGACATTTTGGAAGTTCCCCAGTCAAAAAGGTCCAACAAAACTAACTGGCTACCCTGTGGTATTTCACAGGAAACATTTAATTTACTTTAAGGTGGTGACTTGTGCTGAACTGCAATTTACCAGCTGACTGACCCCACAGATTGGGCAGATAAAATATCCACGTAGATGAGGCTGGTGGTGACTTCCTGGTTCCCCTGAGTAGCTCTTTTGACACTCATTTGGAAGAAGATACTGGATGCAGGAGTTGTCAGTGAGGATAGATGATGTTCAGTCCTCCCTAGGGTCTCATTACTATGCTTCCAGAAGAGTTCACAAGTCAGAAACACAAGTTGATGGCCCTTCCGCTTTCCTGGAGTCACTTGTGACTGGTACAGCTCACTCATTTTCATCTAATCGTGGTCACTAATCACACTTCTGAGATTTCAGATATTTGAGAGCACTGTAGAGATTGTCATAGATCTAAGCTGGAATTGTTTATAGCTATCTATAAATTCAATTTACATTTTATGTTTCTGGCTTTACTTTTATATTATTTTAGGAAGATTTGGAGTTCTAGTAGGAGTTTTGAATGGACACAGGATATTTTAGGATAGAGCAGGAAGCACAGGGGTAAATTTCACAATGGGTAAGTTCAGCAATTTCACAAAATAAAACAAAAAATAAAATCATATATTCTTTTCTAAATATTATTAGTGATCACACATAGACACTGATATTATGTAGATATAGATGTGTTTTACTTCAAGCCTTAATTTTTTTTTCATTTACAATATCATTTGTTGATGCTGTTTTTTTGATGCCTAATTTCCCAAGTTTAATAATAGGCTGGTGTGGGTCACTTCATTACCTTTTACATGGAATTGTCTTTGGCAGACCATTTCTCCCTAATCCATACTTGGTTACTTTTGTTTTATTTATTAGTTGAGTATCGAATCCTGTAGTGTAATGTCTTACATCTCTGGTGGGTCTTCCAGAGGATTGTCTTCAGGAGGAGGGTCTTCAGTAGAGTGTCTGCTGGATCAGGGCATGGCAGTGATCATATTCTGAGCTTTTGCTAACTCCACATTGGTGATCCAAAATTAAAGGAGGAGTCAGAGATTTGGGTAGGGAGGTCACAGAGTAGAGGGAGTCACATGGCATATACATACTTCCAGATGCATATCCAGAGAGAGCTTTGCACACACTGAGAGGACACAAACTCACAAGTAGAGGCTCACAGGCCCACAGACACTGGTCAGTACACAGAAGCAGATAGAAATGCACACAAAAACAAATTCAGAAAGATAAGCACTGCCAGGAAACAGAAAGAGGCCGGTGTGGAGTAAGTGAAAGAGAATTAGAGAAATGGAGAGTGAGAAATTGGTGGAGAGAAAGAGGGTGTACTGGAATCACATCCCACATAGTTTTTGAGGGATGGAGGGAACATGAGGGCTTGGAGAAGAGGAATGCTGACCTGGTTGTTCTGCTTTGTAGTATTCAAGAAATGCTGACAGGCCAGAGGCTCTGCCACTCAGAATCTCACAATGATAGTGTGTTGGCAGCACTGAACCAGCAGAGAAGTGATGGCATTCTCTGCGACGTCACGCTGATTGCTGAGGAACAGAAATTCCATGCTCACAAGGCAGTGCTGGCAGCGTGCAGTGACTATTTCCGGGTAAGTAGGTCATTTGCTTGTTTCTCTTAAGATATCAATAAAGGGAGGATGGCAAAGCCTCCTGTACTGTTGTATAACCAGCAGTCATTCAATCACAGTTCTCATGCTGTGCTGCTGGGGGCAGGTTGTGTTCAGAGCTGGGTAAAATGGGATCCTGAGGCCCACAGGGATCCTAGTAGGCCTGGACACCTGGACGTCCCCCCAGTGGAGAGCAGGCTGTGCCTTTGTGGGATAGCACAGGACTATTTGACTTTTACCACCTCAGGACAATATGGTATTCAGTGCTCCACAGTAGGGGTACAGGCCAAAGACAGGATATTTTTGGTTGTGGGATTAGGACAACTACCCTAAACTAGAATTATGTTTCTCTTCCTTGTGTCTTTTGTCTTACCACACCCATATGTCTAGAAACAGTACCTGTCTTAGTAATTTCTGTATCTCTCATAACATTTATAACCTTGCTTCAGGCTTAGTAAGTGCTCAATAAATATTTATTAAGTAAATGAAGAAGTATTTTCTAATTGTCATAAAATTCCATGTGCTTCCATTATTAATATCTTGATTATTAAAATATGCAAATTACTCATGATTTTTTTTTCTCCTTTCTAGTGTGATCCGTTCAAGTTAATTAAATGCTTTTTTATTAATTAGATTTTCATACTCTGCTGTCTGGCAGATTATTTTGAACCTAAATGAAAGAAATTAATTTGAGAGTAATTGTAATTGTTCTGACTCAGGAGAGGTGGGTCTGCCAGACTGAGAGACCCAGCTTTGATGTAATCCATTCTTTACATTGCTCTTAGGGTTAAATATCAACTTTTCCTGATTCACATATGAATAACAAAGCAGTTGAGCACACAGTATTATGACTTCCTTTGATTGTCAACATTTTAAAAGGAAGGGTGAGCACAAATTCTTTCAGCCAAGTAATAATGTTTTTTTTTTCTACAAAGAATAAAAATTTTGCTTAATTTTAGTAGTGTGGGCCCAACATGGAATTAGTCAATTAGCTGTAGTTGAGTCAGATCAGGGCTTCTATTATCAAAAGAGTGTGAAACTGTTGGAAGGAAGGAAGACAAGGAAGAGCTTAAGAGTCAGAACTGAGTTTGAATAAGTTTGAATAGACTGTCAGAAACTATTGTTTATCATGGTGCCTGGTAAATAGCAGTTGTTCTGTTAATTGATATTTGTTGTGTAATTCATCCTCGTCATTATCTATCCTTTGAAATAGGCAAGTCATCCAAGTTCTGGGAATTTGCTTTTTTCCTCTCTAAAAGGTGATCATAAAGCATAACACTCAGAATAGGTTGATGTAGAGATTAAATGAGCTAAAGTACATAAAGTACTAAGCACTCTATCTGACATACAGTAGACTTTGAAAAAAACACTAGCTATTTCACTCTCTGGATTAACTGGTAATGTTCTGCCTGAATGTTTGTGGGAAGAGAGGAGTTAATCTTAAGTCTCATGTGGCTGCAAAGTCACTTTTTGATGGGCCAGAATAACTTTTGATCTCATTCTTTCCTGTCTTTTTATTTTCTGAATCTAACATCTCTTTCCTTCTTGCTTGGAACATTCTGGTAGCTATCTAACTTTTTTCATCCTCTGCATGTCCCATTCATTATGGAAAACAATATTGAGGTTCTTCAAAATATTAAAATATCAATATATCTATCATATGATCCAGCATTCCTGTTTCTGGATATCTAAAGGAAATGCAATCATAAATTCAAAAAGACAATTGTATAACTTTGTTTTTGCAGTATTATCAACAATAGCTAAAATGTGGATATCAGTTGTTAAAGGAATAACAAAAACCAGTGCATATGTACTGATCAGTGTGTACACACCCATATAACAATACTTGAAAGTTGCCTGAAGAGTTCCCACCCCACACACATGTACCTGGGAACTATTAGATATGTTAACTAACCTTCATGTTCCTTCCATTTCACAATATATATGTATTTTTACATCTTAAACTTACACAATGTCAATTGCATCTCAATGCGACTGGTGGTGTTTTTCTTTTCTTTTTTTTTTATAGGGAGTGACAGATTAGGTTCATATGTTGTAGCCCTTTTTAATTATAACTTCTCTGAGCGGGACTGTGAGTAGCTGATGCACTAGTGAAATCCATCCACATATTGATGAACAAAATTGTAGAATTAAGTATGTAGTAAATGTGGCAGGAGAATTTACGGGTCTCATAATCTAGAGTGTGTGTGTATAGGGGAGAGGGGTCAAGTCAGGTTTTCTCCCTGCCTCCCCTTGGAAGCTGCTATGACCATGGGGACATATTAGTTACAGGGTGCCAGTGTGGGCAGGCCTGGGCTTTGGGCCACCCGCTAGCTTCTGGAGGCTGTTGTTGAACATTTGCTATCTCCAGCTTAAACCTCCATGAGTGCCTACACATTCTGGCCAAGAAAGCAGATGTCTTGACTGTCTAACATAGCTTTGCATATGTGATGATAAAGTGATTCAAATATGACATTTTAGAAAGTTAAATATTTGAGCATCATTTTCCGTTAAAGCCTGAGTGTGCTCTGCCTATGTAATTTTTAGGCTTGAGAAAAGAAGACACAGTCCATGAAAAAAAGAAAAAAGTCTGTGGAAGTTTTTTGTAATCCTCTTCAGTCATTCATTACATGGCACAAAAACTATTAAAGGAAGTATATACAGTGTGCTAGTTTCTAGATGCAAAATGATCATAATCTGGCAGGAGCTATAGACAGTTGGCCAAATGATTTCAACATATTGTGACTGGTATTAGTGGTTTGGGGTTGTGTTTGGAAACTAGAGCCTTGTTTTTAACTCTTTTCCCCTCTTTGACATTTTCAGCTGATAACAATGACAATAATAACTACCATTAATTAAGCATTTTTTGTGCATACTTTATTTTTTAAATATATAATTTATTTATTTTACATCATTGTTCATTTTTGTAGAATATTTGCTTTCTTTTCTTAGGTTAGTCACCAGGGAATTTCCACCGTCAATTCACCCCTGCACCCTTTCCTAGTCCCTAGTGGGCACTTATTTTAAATGCTTTATATATATCAACTCATCTACAGAAGATTGTAAAATGGCATTATTATTTTCATCATATTCATTCTAAAAATAAAGAAAAGGAGCCCAAAACTTAAATACTTCACAATAATGGCATGAAGAGCAGTTAAGTGAGAGTTCATGGCTGGTGAGAAGAGGTTTTGTGTGGGAACAATTTGGAGGAGGCAGAGTGGAGTGGACACAGTAGGTCGGGTTGATAGGACTGTGTGGGAAAGACATATAATGAGTGAGGCATAGTAATTATAATAAAGTAAAAACGAACAACTATAAATCAGTGACATTCTACAGGGGAAGAGAGGAGAATAGGATGAAAACTGGGGTGGAAAGAGCACACAGGAATGTGGTGATGGCACATGGATGATTGGTGGTGGGAAGTTCATGGGGATTAGAATGAGATGAAAAAATGTACAAAATGAAAATGATGTATATATACCTATATCTATGTATCTATGTATCTATGTATCTATGTATCTATGTATCTATGTATCTATCTATCTATCTATCTATCTATCTATCTATCTATCTATCTATCTATCTATCTATCTATCTATCTATCTATCTATCTATCCGTCCATCCAGCCATCCAGCCATCCAGCCATCCATCAAATTAAAAAACAAAAACAAGTGCTGCAGACTTGAGGCTTTAGGTGATGAGTGGAGGAAACAAGGGGATACTCATGCTTACCCTAACCTCAGGTAATAGAGGGTTTTTAAAAAAAGCAGCCACATGCAGCTGGTTAAAACGCAGCACAAAGCTTAAACCACTTCCGCATGAATTCGAATCCCTGCCTGCCTTGGGGGAGATCCACATGGCAAGGCAGACCTCTCCTGACCCGCCCGCTGCTCCTCTCAGCAGTGCACTTCATCCACCTGCCTGTTCTGTACCCCACTCTGTCTCTGGTGGATCCTCTCACCCTTCGCATCTCTGGCCTGTACCCCAGTTCTGTACGAATAAATAAATAAGTCTTTAAAAAAAAAAAAAAAAAGCAGTCACAGGGTTTTTGGAGGACATAGTTCCTTTGATGGAGCAGGCAAGGAAAGCTGCATGTGAAGACCTTGACAGCAGTTTCTTGGAGAATAGCTAATGTCTTTTTTACTTTTCTGGTCAATGCATCTCCAGAGCCCACGTGAGTAGCTGGCACCCATATGCTCTTAGTCTTTCTTCACCTCCATTGCAGTCTGATTGCAAGTTTCTTGCTGTATCATGAGTCTCACCAAATCTCACTTTGAATTTCCCCCCTGAGAATACCTATAATTATAGCGTCTATTCAGCACATTAGTGTCTTAAGAAAGTTTCCCATACAGACTAAAAGGCAATAGCACTGGTGACATTGAAACCCATTAGTGAGATCATTGTTGGGCTATGCTGTTTCCTTTTGGGTGGTTTTATGAACTCTTCACTACATTTCAGATTCTCAGAAATCATATTTAGAAACAAGCTATCACTTTAAGGATATGGCATGATAACTGTTATAATTATTTGATTCCAAAGGCCAAATCTGTAGCCTCTACCTTTATTCCTCTAGCAGTTCTGTGAACCTCCAGTATGTTTTTGATAAATTATCTAAAATTTGTAATAAAAATAAATGAACTTTATCACAATCATACAGGCTCTATGAATATTAAAGGACTGTCTTCCGTTGAGTCACCCTGCCACAGCTTGCTTCTGGGCTCATTATGAGCAGTCCCTGGGCTTGAGGCTGTAATTAACATTCATTCAAGTGATGTGCAGGAATGTTATCATACTGATTAGAATAGTCCTTAAAAAATTAAATTTTAGCTTGGAGTAACTTACAATTAACCTCCTTTAAAGAAAGAAAATGAAGAAACATAATAATAAAATAACTCCCAAATCCCTTAATACATATAATAATTTTTGGTTTATCTTTTTGATAGTTACTAGAAACTTGTAAATATCTTAAATAGCAAAG